CCCCAGCACCCCCGCCCCCAACCATCCCCGCCCCCTCACCAATGGTGGGTATGGCCGCGGTGGGGGGGCCGAGGAGGGGTAAAATCATTTTTTTGACTTTTGGCCGGGGGGGGCAGATTGTCATTGCGCACCCCCCAATATATATATATATTTTTTTTTTGATTTTTTTTTTTGATTTTTTTTTTTTGCCCCTCCCGGGCCGGGGTGAGGGGACCACCGCACTGGAGCCCCGGGGCTGCCCTGGCCCCCCGGGGCCGGGGCTGTGACAACCCTGGCTAACGGAGGAAGAGAAGAAGAGGAGGAGGAGGGAGAAGAAGAAGAAGATGACGAAGAAGAGGGACGGGAAGAAGAAGAGGAGGAGGAGAAGGAGGAGGAGGAGGAAGAAAATGACAAAGAAGAGGGGAGAGAAGATGAGGAGGAGGAGGAGGAGAAGAAGAAGAAGAAGAACGCAAGGGAGTTGAACAGCAACGAAAAAATAAAAATAAAAAAATTAACGGTTATGGCTAACGCGGAGGAGGAGAAGAAGAGGAGGAGGAGGGAGAAGAAGAAGATGATGACGAAGAAGAGGGAGGAGAAGAAGAGGAGGAGGAGGAGGAGGAAAATGACGAAGAAGAGGGGAGAGAAGAGGAGGAGGAGGAGGAGGAGGAGGAGGAGAAGAAGAAGAAAAAGAAGACGAACGCAAGGGAGTTAAAGCAACGGAAAAAAAAATATAAAAAATTGACGGCTATGGCTAATGTGAAACGGTATTCACCTGTTCGCAATAGCCGATGCAGATCCCAGGGCTCGATCCCTAGTCCTCACCTTACCTGTGTACAGTATCTGTGTCGACCCCTAGAGTTGAACCCGTGACCTGTGTATTTGTAACTGTTGGTAGACTGTCGTAGGGTCCGATCTGTAGACCTGTCGAGTAGAAGTCTTAGGGAGTTCTAGAAGTCGTAGCTGTAGAGCTTCCGAAAGGTCAAGGTCGTAGCTGCTACAGTCCAGAAGGGTCAAGGTCGTAGCTGCTACAGTATCGAAAGGCCAAGTCCACGGCCGTCCGGAAGGTCCTAGCAGTGGCCTTTCAAAGTTGCCCACGTTTAGACTGAGGGTGGAGTCTACCCGTGCTGAGTCAGCAGTCCCAGTTCCAGTCAGTCCTAGTCCAGTCAAGCAAGTACCGCATGGGACTGTGTGCACTACGGGCATGGGAAAGGGCCAGACCAGCAAGCTACAAAAGTATAAATCAAAGAGGAGCGTCCAACCATTTTTATTCATTTCTGCGTGAGCCATGCGGAAGCGCTGCTACAGCGACTTGTGCGAGGTGGTCTGCAGTGAGCCCGGAGACGAAGTGGGCGAGAGAGAAGAAGCTTAGCCATAGCGATAGGTTAGCAGCGGCCATAGCCGCCATAGCTGTAGGTAGAGTGTAGCGTGTGTGTGTGTGTGTGTATGTGTGTACAGAGTATCGCATGTGGGATATCCAGGGTGATCCTGTGTGTGCGAATAGAGAGTTGTGTGGGCGCTGTATCGCCATAGCCAGTGAAGTGAACTTCTACCAGAGCTGCGTTCTTGGCTACCATATCTCTGAGTTTTGAGTGGGCGCTGGTCGCCAGTTTGCTGCGCACCTGTTTGCATGCATGTGAAGTGTGAATGAGAGCGAGTCTGATTGCATTGGTATCGGAGCTGGTACCCGCTATTCCACGCGCGTCGTCGTGTGCCGCAGGGACAGCTACACGCCATAGCCGAAGTAGCCATCAGAGGAGAAGTCCGCCATAGCGGACCCGGAGGTTGACGAAGCCGCCGCGCGCACCTGCAAAGAGGACCACGACAAAGAGAGAGAGAGAGGGAGAGAGGAGGGTTGAGCGATACAAGATTGGCCTACCACGTACTTGCGTTGAAGACATCGCTACGGCGAGAGAGAGAGAGAGAGAGAGAGAGAGAGAGAGAGAGAGAGAGAGAGAGAGAGAGAGAGAGAGAGAGAGA